TGGGGCATGAGGGAGGGAAAGTCACTTCTTGGTGCCCCTGCTGGTTCACTTCTCCTCTGTGAAGATCCCCACTGATTTCTTTTAAATTGAAAAACACACTGATTAGTCTTCAGTATAGTAAACTCCAGCGGAACAATTGCTTTTAAAATGATGATGTGAGGAGGTAAAACAAAGCTCCTTATAATTATAAACAAGACTCAATCTTGTCTTTTTGCAGCCAGTAGTTTAAAACAATCAGTGGACAAACAGTTTCCATCTGGAGGAAGTTGTCAGTTTTATTGAAGTTTAACTTTTTTTTGAAATGCAGCGGTGGAGGAGGGGAGGACGATTTTCCCTCCGCATCCCTGAATAAGTCGGAGGCTGGAGTTTTGATTTCCCTCCAAAAACTCTATTGTAAAAACTTCTCCCCCTTCACTTATACAAGCTACTCAGCGGCCGCCTCCACCCCCAGCCGTCACCCATCAATCCACGGTGATGTGTGTGTGTGTCTTTTGAGACGTGGGGGGCGTCTCAGCCAGAGTGCCGTTAACCCCCCAGGGTGTAAAGGATTTCTGGACTAACACTGCAAGCTTCAAAAACAAACTCTTTGATTTTGGTTTACTCAAGTTTCTTTTAGGCCTCAAACTGACAGACATGTCATTTGAGTCACGTTCCACTGTGTAAAGTGGATTAATGCACATGTGCGATTTTCACTGATGCTTTTTACAACATCTCTTAACATCCTGTTATATTTTGCACAGACTTTGTTCAGTTGCATTTTAAGATCCGCATTTCATCGGCTCCCTGTTTGAGAGCACGTGCCTGTAACCTTGGAATAAAAAACATGGATGCATCCTGTAGGAGGTAAAATTAGTTTTTCCACCATCTCCCCCTTTGTCAGGAAGTTAATCAGGGCTACAGAGGTGTGTAGATGGCCTTTGACCTCTTTGGTATCTCTGGCCTTTCTCTTACGTGCCTCCAGGGTAACATCAGGATATTCCTCATTTGACTCTTAACCTAGAACTCCCATTTAAACACCAGTGGTTCAAAATTAAGGCATGTGCAGATAAAAGCACATTTATTTTATTTTATTTGTTCTCTACAAATGATTACCAAAGACCAGTATCCACAATTCTACTAATCATCACATGTAACATGAGAGTATTGAGTGTGCAAAACTGAAGAAATAGCTTCTGTTATCATCAGTGATCATTGTAGAATGTACAAGTTTATACTGGTAAATCAATTATACAGAAAAAACCTAGTGCACTTTCTTTTGTGTTGTTTTTCCACTGAAAACATATCACTTCCTGTAATCCCTCTGAAATAATAAAGATCAGATTCAACAACCTTCTTATTGTAAAATGTAACTGCAATATTTCACCTGTAATATGTAAATACACCAACATGGATGAACCACCAAGAACATCACAGAAAGCAGCAGAGATCAACAGAGGTGATCTGTGGAATAGCGAGCAAGTTGAACACAAGACTTCTTCAACCCTGACTGGGACGCTCAGGTGATGAAAAAGAGTTTATAGCTGCACCCAAACAACATTGCTGAGGAATTATTTCTTGCAAAACAAAATAACGCTCTTAACTGTGCAATATTCACTGTGATATATTCATCTATATGCTATTCATCTGTGTACATGCTATATTCATCTGTCTGTGCTATATCAATGGCCAAATACCAAAATGGGAGGGTGTGAACGATAGAGGATTATGGAGAGTGAGGCATGTCAAATGAAATGTCACTCCATTTTAGTGGAATTAATTTCTTCATGGGGAATATTTTTGCCTGGTGCTTTCAAGTGTTTAAGAAGAACAGGTAAAAAAAAAAAAAGTGTCTCCTCTCAGGTCAGGCACAGACAGAGCTCTTTATGTGGATCCACCTGAAGGAGAACAGAGAGCATCTTTGAATGACGTTCGTCTAGTACAATACATTATATGGGGAGCCAGAGTATGTAAAGGGTGAATTGTGATTGACAGCTGAGCATGTGTGTGCATCTGTGCAGTTTTCTATGGTGTGAGTGATGGTTAATTAGAGTGTGTTGTCAGGCATCTACGTCCTGTTTTCCTCCATTTCCGTCTTGTTACAGTTAAAACACAGGAACTATTCTGTTACGTTTTTGTACATGAAGCATTCAGAGCCTCTTTAACAATCTGCAGTAAGTCCATGAGCCTGCCCCCTTCTTAAAAATGAGCTAACCCACCAAACAAACGGCCACAATTGTGGATAAATACTGCTTTTGTTTCACCCATTTGAGGCCGAGGTATCACTTAAAGGCGAGGGGAGTGTGTCCACCCTTTTTCACTTTTCAGGGTCTTTGGCGCTGAATAGCGGGGACCACTGCCAAATGGGAAAACGACTACACAGGCAGAAAGAAAGACCAGAATCAATCAGGAAGTGGCAGCTTTTCAGCTGTGCCAGAGGAGCCGGGCAACTTCCTGGTCCTGTTGCCAAGGTTACTGGAAGCTCAGCCAGCTGGTGCAGCGGGCAGCAGTTGGAGTTGATGGAGCGGGGGGCGGTGGCGGTGGCGGCGGGTGACGGTTGGGATGTTGGGCAGGAGCAGTGGGTGGAAAACTGGTGAGAGAGGGAGAGGATGTTTAAATGTAAGCAATCATCAAACAGCATTGAACCATCACAATGTGAGTGTGTGTTTCTCTTCTCTTTTTAATCCTTTGTAAAAAATCATAATATCTTTCACTGCTTCTGGTTTCCTCACACTTCGTTTCATTGTAGGATTATGTATTATCTATAATATTTTCTTCTGGAATTCTCATCTTTTATTCACTGAAGTAACTAGTAAGTACTGTTCAATGTTTTAGAAATAATCATATAAACTCTGTGAGAAATCAGCAGGGAATGAAACAACCTACTGAATGTTATATTTTCATTTGTGGTGTTACTCTAAATCTCTTTTTTGACAGAAGTTTAAAGAAGAGCCTTGCGCTTGAAATGTCACTATGGAAAATAAATCCTTGAACGGGAGCTTGTGGGTGTGTGGATTTTCTCCTTTTTTCAAAGACCTAAACTTTTGTTAAAAATGATGCAGATAATATTAGACTGAAGAGAAAATGGTGGATTTGGGTCCTTCAAACTTATATTATGTTATATATTTCCTGTGCAAAAATGAATTCTAATCATGTATAAATTACTATATCTAGTAATTAATTTTAAAATGTTGATCTGTGTTTAGTTTGATAAAAACAAAAAAGTTAATTTAGTAAGTTTTACAGAGATGGGACTGGGGGCTGGTTGAGTGGATGACTGGGTGTTCTGGGGGGATCAGGGGACCAGACTGGTGAAGATAGAGGTAAACACAGCTGGGGACACATAGTGCTGGTGGGTCTGCGGCTCAGCGGCCCCTTCACTCATTTATCAGTGTGTTTGCTCAGGGGATGTGGCCTAATCTTCACACGCTGATCTCGGAGCGAAGCCTTCACAGAACCCCAACAGGCCCAGGGATGAAAGCGACCTTGTCCACTGTCGCAGCCCTGCTAATTCCCCCATGACCAAACTTGAATGTTATTATTAAAGGCCTCGGGGGTCATCGATGGATCTGCCTGCATGGGGTTGGATCTCTCTGTGGGTGGGATGGCCCTGATAATATATACTAAACTCTTGATCATAATCTGATGTTTCTCTGAAATGCCTCTGACTGATGAACAGGTCATTGTCATGGGGTGTCAGGCCAAACAAACGTTATCAGTGACACAGAAAATATTTACAATAGGCCGACTTAAATTTCAGATGAACGCGGGGAGATAAATCCTGATTGTCAGGGGTTCATTGATGCTTATAAAACTGGTTCTTCAAAGAGTTTCTGCATTCCTCAAATAATTAAATCCTATCTATCTATCTTTCTATCTATCTATCTATCTGTTTATCATTCTGTCTATCTATCATTCTGTCTATCCATCTATCTATCTATCTATCCATCCATCAATCTGTTTATCATTCTGTCTATCAATCATTCTGTCTATCTACAGGTTTAAACTCTGGTTATACAGCGCCACCTGCTGGTTATTTCTTAAAGTTGAGCTTCTCTCAAGATGGTATAAAATGCTGCAACTAACGATAAGTATGATCAGTAACAAGACCTTTAAAAATATAAAATAAAGAGCAGATTGAAATGTATTATAAAACATTTTGTTCACATGGAAATTACAATCAAATCCAAAGAGTTTAAAGTATGCATATATGTTTCAAGGACTGTTACATTTATTGCATGATGACTCCATGTATATGTTTTCTGCACCACGCTGTGTATATTCTAGGAAATAGAAAAATTATATTAAGTGCATGATAATGTCAAAGGAGCAAATAAAGTCCTCTCGGCTTCCGTAAAGGTCGCGTAGGCGCTTGACGTCAGCACAACAACAACCTGTCATGACAGCTCGTCTGGAGGAAAGAAATAATTCGTTCAGCCTTGATAAGAGAATATTTACGGTCCACATCACCCGCATGTAAGAGCTCATCTCCCAGGTAAGGACTGGACACCGTGAACCCCAGAAACAAACACTCACTTACCTGCTAACTGCCAAAATGGAAACTGGTGAAGGCTGTACAGCACACAAGCTAACCTAGCGTTAGCCACTTGGTGTCTTTGGTTGCCTAGCGGCGTTGAGATAAACGTTGAGATAAATCCCTCAAATATTTTATTCTGGTCAGTTATAGCTAAACTTCCCAACCAGCTGCCGGTTGCATGTAAGCATTTGTGACTGAATAGTGGGTAGATATTCGTTTTATTAGCATCCTGCCCAGCAAAGCGTTTGTCGTCAATGTAGCTTAGCATGGTAGCTCAGCTAAATAGCTAACATCTGAGCACCGAACTCTTGTGCGCTGTGGACTCAAGTTAACGACGTTGTCACTCGTGTATTTGTGCTCGCGGCTCCAGTATATGACATATTTATGTGTGTGTGTGTGTAGTGTTGCTTATTGACAACCTTTACTTCCATTGGATGCCTGTGGTGTAGCGTTACAGGACCAGCGGGAGGGACGGTGAGCTGTTCGGGGATGTGTGTTTAGCTAGCAGTGCTGCTCGTGTAGTTACCGCCGATGTCCGTCACATGAATAGTTAATTGGTCTGCCCACCTCACCGTGTTGCTCAGCGGCGAGCACCGTCAGCAAATTGAACGGATGCCCGTCTGAGTGGCATCGAGAGCCGCACCAAACTCGCCCCAAGACGCGCATTGCAGGCGCACTGCAGCAGCGGCGCGCCTGTGAATGTGGACATTAACATTACATGGACTGTGTCTCTGTTCTAGTGTGTGAGATCCAGGAGGGACAGGGCATTCTTCGACCTGTCGGTTAGACAGCCGAAGAGACGGGGAACAGGATTGGGAAGCAGGGCGAGGCGGGCCCCGCGGAGCCGGCGGAGAAAATGGCCGGCAGCCCGGAGAAGAGTTCCACCGCGCAGGAGCTGAAAGAGCAGGGGAACCGGCTGTTCCTCTGCCGCAAGTACCAGGAGGCTGCTACATGCTACAGCAAAGCTATCGTGAGTAATTGTCTTTGTATAAGAATAAGCATTACAATGAATCGACTCAATCTACATGAAAAGACATCAGAGCATTGCAACATCCTTTTTTTTTTAAAGAAAAAACTGATAAGTGAATGTCCCTCTGAATGTCTATGGTGCAATGGTTTCACTGTGCACGTGTATTGTCTTGTCTGTCCTGTCTCCCAGAACCGTAATCCATCTGTGGCAGTGTACTACACGAACAGGGCTCTCTGCCACGTGAAGCTGCAGCAGCATGACAAGGCTCTGGCAGATTGTAAGCATGCGCTGGAGCTGGACAGTCAGTCGGTCAAGGCCCACTTCTTCCTGGGCCAGTGTCACCTAGAGCTGGAGAACTATGATGAAGCCATTGGTAATCTGCAGAAAGGTAATAACAGCCTCCTAAAGCATGATGAATCTTTTCATACATTTTGCAACAGTGTGTGAAGCAGCTTGCTCATATTTCATTATGAACTTGAACATTGATGATGTACCTCATCAATGTTCAAGTTCATAAGTTTACTTCAATGCTATGTCACATTCCTGCCGTTGTGCTGATCCTTGAATGAGCTGTTACCTCTTAAAGTCTTTGTTGATTGTAATAATCAATTGATTTTACAGTTATTCTTAGATCATGTCAGCAGGGGTGTATTATATTATGCTTTGTCCCTATAATTATATATATTGTAACATGTAGAAATGGTTTTACTGACTTGTCATCTATTCACTACAGATGACAGAAATAAATCTTGTGGAAACAGCCCGATGTTGCTGTAATGCCGTTTCTCTTTGACAGCGTATAACCTGGCAAAAGAACAGAGGCTGAATTTTGGAGACGACATCCCCAGTGCCTTGCGCATTGCTAAGAAGAAACGCTGGAACAGCATTGAGGAGAAGCGCATCAACCAGGAGAACGAGTTACATGCTTACTTGACCAAGCTCATACTGGCTGAGAAGGAAAGGTGAGGCTGGGGAAGCGGGCAGCAGTCAGATATCCAGCATTGTAATTTTTAGTCTGATAATGAGCTCTTGGTGATTACTGCTACTCACTGAAATTAATCAATGGTTATTATTTTGTTCAGGACGGAGGTGTAATTTTTAAATAACTTTGTGCTTTTGTGCAGAGAACTAGAGGAATACAAAGAGAAACAGGATGACAATCAAAATGGAGGCGATGCCGCCAAGATTGCATCAAAACATGTACGTTTTGAATATTTTTGCGGTTGGCTGTGATGCTTTTAGTAAACTTACTATATGCACTTACATTTTTATGAATATGAAATGTCACCTACTTAGGACAAGTATCTAATGGACATGGAGGAGCTCTTCTCTCAAGTGGATGAGAAAAGAAAAGTAAGGATTACATTTTATTCATTCAAATTGTATTCATTCACTCAGTCGTTCAGGTTATCCTATCAATCATTGGGCAAAAAATGCATGTATACATCCCGCATAGGTCACCAGTCCATTACAAGGCCCGTTTTGATTTTATTCGACCACACAAATGCATGTTTGCTCACTACACACCTACATCACACCATCTCCTCTTATCGTTGACATAGCAACAACAGAAATAGACTCACACAAAGCTTCAGATTTGCTTACACATTTATAATCTGTTTCCCTTTGTCTGAGAACATTCTCCCTGGCCTTTTCCTGTGTCATACATTCAACCTTCACACTACGCTAGTGACTACATCTGCACCTACACTATAGAAGGTCGTTACTGTGTTTTTTATTTCCACTTGAAGCTGATAAATTATCCTTTCTACAGACTGAGGAAGTTGTCATGTATTTGTGTATGATGTCGCTCGTCTGTATGTATTAGAAGGTGTGAGCAGCAATGATTCAGCGTAGCGCTGGAAAATACAGTTGAAAGAGGAAATACTGTCATAATTCTAATATATGTGTTTTTAACACTTTGATGATATTTTTAGGAAGCGCAGTGTTTTTTTCACTGAAGCATTTAATCCAAACATGGAGAGGCTGATTTTGCAGTAGTTTGTCATTAAACTGTAATAATCCTTGTGAGAGCAGGGAAAGACAGGATCATGTATCATTTAGCATTTTTACATCAGCATGACTCTGTGTTTTGTTGTTTGTTCAGAAGCGGGAGATCCCAGATTACCTGTGCGGGAAGATCAGCTTTGAGTTGATGAGAGAGCCCTGCATCACACCCAGTGGAATCACCTACGATCGCAAGGACATTGAAGAGCACCTACAGGTAAAACAACGTATACTTTTCATATAACTGCAGATTTGATTATCTTGAGGCTAAACACCCATCATGTCAGAACATGATGCAAAGACATTCATGACGTTTACAGTAAACAACCAAATAAATTGTTAAAATAATCATTAATACTAGGTACAGTTTATCTGCGTCACCTCTTTTGGTATTTTGTCAAAAAACACTCTACTCAATAAACCAATAATTAATACTTCCATCAAGGAGACTGTGTTTTCATTAGCTATTGTTTGTCTGTTATCAGAATTAGGAAAAAAGTAATGAACTGATGAACATGTGATTTCGGAGTGACCCAGATAAACTTGTGAAAGCAGGACAAACATTTTGACAAAATATTCGGTTATGGGTTGGGGTCGGTCATGTCATCTGGGTTATTTGATTTTTTTTTTTCACTACACATGCCTGTAATTGAGGAAATTGGGGGCGCTTATTCTTTTTCCTGGGCTTAGATGGGGGTCGACAGAAAACTGTGGCCTGAGCCACACTCAATTTTTATGAGTCCATATGGTATTTGTTTACTAACCCTATTTCACTTGCAGCATGTCAAAGATAAAGTATATTGTGTGATTGTCCCAAAATACATAGAACACTTCATAGGACTATATATTATTTGTGAAACTTGGGTACTAATGCTAACACTATCATTTAACTTGCTCTCCCTGTAGCGAGTGGGTCATTTTGACCCTGTAACCAGGAGTCCTCTGACCCAGGACCAGCTGATCCCGAACCTGGCCATGAAGGAAGTCATTGATGCCTTTATCCAGGAGAACGGCTGGGTGGAGGACTAC